CTGTACTGTGTGAATTTCACAAAGAAATAATACTTTCCGAAGATGATGATTTGCAGAGAATAAATGACCTTTGCTATTCAACTGGCCTGAAGGAAGGCTTCACATACTCTGGTTTGTACAATTCTCTCTGGAATCTCCCCTAAGATGTACAACAGGGAGGAGACAAATGGAGCAAAGCCAACAGTGGCAAAAAAGCAATTGCACAGAGGAACTTTATTAAGACATTTTGCCTGTGGAAGAGGCTTCTTTATTCAATACACAGGGATGCACAACAAATATACAGAAGCATAGTCAAGTGAGTTTCTGGGTCAGTGACATCACTGTGTGGATGAATTGCAAGAAGGAAGCACTTCAGGAGGCCTACCAATGATTTGTTTTGTATGATGAGTTAGACTAGAGGTTTGGCTAAAACAAAAGTTCCTTGATTCTGTTGGATTGTATTTTGTGTCCAGATTAGTAAAGACTCATTTTTGTTGACAAACGCAATATAGATGCCTAGAAGCTGCAGTAATTCAAACACAACATACAATCTAACTATCATGAAACTATCAATTTTGTCAAACTTGTAGCTTAACTATCCTTACAAAAACAGGCCAATGGAAGGATTGGTAGGCCTCCTGCAGTACTCTCATCTCGCAATTCACCCCACACAGTGATATTGCTGACTGAACCACTTGTCTGACTATGCTGGTATTAATTTGCTTGTTGCACATCCATTTACTGACCAAAGCAGCCTGTCTCAGAGGCAAAATTCCACAAACTTCCTCTCTGCAACTGTCTTTCTCACAAGATGTACAATAGGACTCAGGGGTGTCCTTGTAGTGTCTCTGGGGTGAGTGTTCTTCAACACAACTGCCACTTTCAGGTTCTTCAGTGCCCTTCTTTGATTTCTACCAAGAGGACCAGAGATTTCCATGAGATCCCTATCATCATTAACTTGCTTCCAACAGGATCCATTAACGAGTCCCAACCTTTAAGACTATCAGAGACATCCACTTCCCAGTTGATGGTAGACTGGAATATCTTTCATGCTTCCTTGGACAAACAGGTATTGGAGGCACTGGTCTTTAACTCACCAAATCTTGCACATGATCCACAAGGTTTCACTCTTAAGAGCAATAATGCAAGCATTCAACTGGTTCACTCCCATATTGCTACTGATCTGGGGGACCTCAAGAAGGATCTCTTGGTTGCCTCCTGTAACCAAAATGACAATATGCATCAGGAGTAAGTTCCAATACCCCTGTAGGAGTGGGGTTTCAGCAGGAAAGTCTAGGTTCTTATCTGCTTTTATAAGTACATACTTCCTTACTGACCTTCCCATGTTGTACTTTGGGAGAACCTTTGCCAGGGCTACCAAAAGGTTCATAGCAGTCTATTCAGAGATGCTCAATCAATCCATGATTGCAATAACTTCTGGGCTAAAAGAAACACATGGAATTTTCTTCTTTAGTTTTGAAAGGAAATTGGCTGTTTTGCTAGAATTTTGAAACACTTCAAATCTGCTTCTAGGATACTGTACGTTAAGTGGTACAGTTCACCACATGCCAGCTTGGTTCAGGCAATTTTAATTGTTTCCCATAAAAATATGGGACCACCCTAATATATACGTATTTGTTCTTGTATGATGGCTTGTTCAACAAAAACCCTTATATCTTCCTGTAGTAACCTCCAACTCCTGACTATAAAAGTGAGCATATCATAACAGTATATTGCAACAATCTCATTTTTTGCTTAAACTTGCCAATAAACTACAACATGATAACTATGCTATGATAGTTTGTGATAGGCCACAGACAACTATCAGCATATATAAACATAATGGTAAGGACTCTGACTGGTACCTTAAGACCTACCCACAAACATCATGACTGAATAATATTAAACCAGTTTTTTATACCAGGTAATTTAATTTCAGAACAGCCAAAGCTGCATTGTAATATTAATACACACACAAAAAAATCCTATATTTTATTTATTTTGGATACCAAAATACACTTAAAAACATAGAATTACATTCTACAAGTTATAAAAGACAACAAGTTACAACAATATAAACCTTTGAAAAACATTAACCAATGGAGGTACCATTCTAACTTACCATTATGTTATTGTTTCTTCTAAAGTTCTCTCATAACATGTATGGCAACCTACATCAGCTTGGGTTATGTGGCTATGCCACTCTTAGTTCCATGACCAGAATTATCCAGGCTGATTTTGCATATTTAGCAGAGGTCATGCCATTACCCTATCCCTCCCTACTTGGTCAAGTCAGCTTCGGCCAGTTTCTCAACCATTGTCATATACATTAATTCAGCTAGGGTATTTAACCCTTCAGTGTCGAGACCCCTGCTCTCAAACTTGCTCTAAGGGTCGAAGAATTAAAAAAAAAAAAAATCATTTTATGTTATGAAATGATAAGAGAATCTTTATCCAAAGGTAATGAAACCAAAAGTATAAAATTTTTGATGGAAATCTTACAAAATTATGCTCTCGCAAAGATAGCGGTCTCGGTGATATTTAAGCACTATTTTTGGTGAATTCCATTTTCCCAGTCCACTAAATTAATAGGCTATTTCACTTCTATTCCTTCTATTCTATCGAGTGAGTACAAGAAATCGCCCATTTATCTTTTTCAACTATCTAATAAGTGATCAAAAATTGGTAATTAGGCCAATTTCACACAAAATGCAACAATTTCCAATTTGAAAATGGGGTCCAGAATAAACAATATAGACAGTCTTGGACTAAATAAAACATTTGTTCTGTTCCTTCGTCACATCTCCATGCCTCTCTTCATTTTGAATTTTTAGTAACTATAAATAATGTTAGTGGATTCCTAAATGAGTATTAGACTGGTCAGTTGGAGGCATATTGGACATGTGTACTCTGGAATATCAACAAAACTGAACATTTCCGATACTTCAAGCTCAATTTCAAGTAACTTTCAATCCTGAAACTAATCAAAATCTCTCCATTTCTGTAATATATCTTCCATTCTATCACATGAGACCAAGAAACCAAGCATATAACTGAAAAAATATGAAAATACACTGCAAAGTCACAGATCTAAGCCAAAACACAGTCATAGTTTTTTTCTCATTATGCACTGTGTGCTGCAGGATTTTTATATGGTGCACACTTACTGCACAGACCCATTCTCTCATATCTTGGCCCAAATTTACAGCTCACATTATCTGAGTGAGCTGAGCTCATGGTGTCATACTACAGGACCAACACTGGCTTCAAAGCCGTGATACAGCGGGACTGACACCGAAAGAGTTAACTGATGCCATCTCAAAAAGTTTCATTAACACCAACTTTTCAATCAATGTGACTCAATATTATCTTTGACACCAAGACAGTATTTCCAAATTATCATTCCTCACTTATTAAAGAAAGTCTTCCTTAACACATTCAACTGCAGCTCTAGTCAGGAAGCTCAACATTATCTGCAACAGGTCACTCACTAGGAACCTAGTCCATAGTGAATTTTTGAGGATGGTTAATTTAGAAAGCTGGCTTTTATCTCTAATTTCAAAGACATTCTATGATTTCTGAATGGCTTGCTGAAAATACAGAGAGGTACTGAATTTTTCCTACCAATCATCTGAACTCTCAGAAACTACTACTTCCAACCCAACTGTCTATACAAAAGCACCCCAAATGTATTTTTATATGTATATACTTCTAAACTGTTGTATTATGGGCACCTCTGCAAAAACAGTGATTATGTGTGAGTGAGGTGAAAATGTTGAATGATGACAAAAGTATTTTCTTTTCTGGGGAGATGGCCAACTTGTTGGACAGCAACCACCCAGGGAGGTACTACCGTTCTGCCAAGCGAGTGCAAAATGAAAGCCTGTAATTGTTTTACATGATGGTAGGATTGCTAGTGTCTTTTGTCTGTCTCATAAATATGCAAGATTACAGGCACGTCTTGCTACTTCTACTTACACTTAAGCCACACTACAAGTTTATTTATACACACTTATCTGAGTTTTCTTTGCTTTTATCTTAGTTCTTGTTCTAATTACTTTTCCTTTTATATCCATGGGGAAGTGGAATAAGAATCTTTCCTCCGTAAGCCATGCGTATTGTAAAAGTCAACTAAAATGCTGGGAACAATGGGCTAGTAACCCCTTTTCCTGTAATAATTACTAAAAAGAATAAGAAGAAAACTGTCAAATCGTGTCAGTGGATGGATTTATGAAGGCTGAGGTTAATCATAGAACTGATGAGGGAAAAAAGATGAGTGGTGCATTGACGTACATGTGGAGGCAAAAAATGTTATCTATGGAGGCAAAGAAGGGAATATATGAAAGTATAGTAGTACCAACACTCTTGTATGGGTGTGAAGCTTAGGTTGTAAATGCTGCAGCGAGGAGGTGGTTGGAGGCAGTGGAGATGTCCTGTCTAAGGGCAATGTATGGTGTAAATATTATGCAGAAAATTCTGAGTGTGGAAATTAGGAGAAGGTGTGGAGTTAATAAAAGTATTAGTCAGAGGGCTGAAGAGGGTTTGTTGAAGTGGTTTGGTCATTTAGAGAGAATGGATCAAAGTAGAATGACATGGAGAGAGTATAAATCTGTAGGGGAAGGAAGGCAGGGTTGGTGTCATCCTCAAAAAGGTTGGAGGGAGGGGGTAAAGGTGGTGTTGTGGGCAAGGGGTTTGGACTTCCAGCAAGCGTGCGTGAGTGTGTTAGATAGGAGTGAATGGAGACAAATGGTATTTGGGGCCTGACGAGCTGTTGGAGTGTGAGCAGGGTAATATTTAGTGAAGGGATTCAGGGAAACCGGTTATTTTATATAACCGGACTTGAGTCCTGGAAATGGGAAGTACAATGCCTGCACTTTAAAGGAGGGGTTTGGGATATTGGCAGTTTGGAGGGGTATGTTGTGTATCTTTATACGTATATGCTTCTAAACTGTTGTATTCTGAGCACCTCTGCAAAAGCAGTGATAATGTGTGAGTGTGGTGAAAGTGTTGAATGATAATGAAAGTATTTTCTTTTTGGGGATTTTCTTTCTTTTTTGGGTCACCCTGCCTCGGTGGGAGACGGCAGACTTGTTGAAAAAAAATAAAAAAAAATATATATATATATATATATTATATATATATATATATATAAAGAACTCAACAGCATAAACAACATGTTCAGCATCAGCTCAACACACTCCAATGGCTATGGCCACACATGCATCAGTATGAGCTTACCTCCATGGCATACAGCAAAGTTAGCATCCAGCTCCAGTACCGTGTACTACCCCCACCTCACATGTTTGTGCTGTGTATCTCTATACTTGTATGTTATTTGTGCATGGTTATATAATGGCATCTGTTAAAATAGTTTACTTATGAAGTGACTGCTCCCATTGCCTCTACATACATACATTCACCATCCTCCCCCATACATGTGTGATATATACAGTACTACAAGTTGTATTAATTCAAGACATTATTTATTTATAAATACTTGGAGCTTAGCCCTTTCATACATTCCAAAAGAAATTATCTAATACATACCTACAGTACCTGAAAATTTAAGAAATATAATCTATAAGGTCATTTTAATATAAAATAATCATTTAAAAAATGTTAGATTCAAAATTGCTCCAATGTTAATGATATTTTTTTCCTTTCCAAACCCTTTTATACCTACAATGATTCAACATATGCATATACACCTAACTAAAACTCTTTCATAACTATCAGAATATCACAATTTACAAACAAACCTCACTTGATTTCAGCTTATCAACCAACAAATGAGATTATGGCCATGAAGTTCAGCAACATGCCACAATCACCACCAATTATGGTGGTAAATCCCCGAGGAGTCCTTGCTGTTGTAGCTGAGCACGCACTATGGCATTTTCATTTTTTAAAGCTGCATTTTCATTTTTCAGCACCTCTACCTCTTGCTTCAGCAGTTCAAAATCCATCTCTCGTCGATGTGTTTCCTTTATTCTCTCTGTCAGCTGTTCATTGTGGACTCTTAGTTCGGAGATGTAGTCACAGGCTTTAGCCAGGATGCCACCTTTACTCTGCTGAGAAAATTTTTCAGCATATCAGTTATTAACAATCCTGATAAAAAATGGGTAATGAAAGAGATGAAAATTTTTGAATGAAAACTCAGTGAGGCATTTTATGAAGACCAAATTTTTTTACAAGAATGTGAGAAAAGATGGAAAAGCATGTCATGGAATTTAAGAAAAAAAAAAGACAGGCAGGAAAACAGCATGTATGTAAATGTGAATTTTCTTAATTCTTATTTATGTGAAGTGCTAAACTTATACACAACGAGCGGAGGAGTGTCAATCCTCCATCCACTACACTAGACGCACACTTCCTAACTGTACCCCTTTAGTTGAATAAGAGAAGTGGTACAGCGTTACCCTTTGAGGGTCGGTCACATACTAATACGTCATTGCAGCCAGGGTCTGTCACGCAAGTACGTGTAAATATAGACAGCCTGTACTGTCTGCACAGACAGTCATGCTGTCTGCCAGCTGAGTTCATAATTTGTGCCATGCTGGTGCTGCCACCTACAGGCTTACCACTTCAGTATGCCCACCCCCTGCGTCTGCCTCACTCACTCAGCGGCCTAGACTCAGACAACAGGTCCTACTACTCTCTCCCTCGTGGGCATGGCCCTCCCGGGCCATGGGCACTTAACACACTGCCTGTGTGCCCCACGACATTGCTAATAAAGTAAGAAGCCTCCAAAGCCTTTACCATTGAACCCCGCTCTGCAAGTACAACCAATAAACCATATAAAACAAATTCTAGTGCCTTCAAATTGAGCGGGAGAGAGCTGGTAGGCCTGCATGTGATAGAATGGGTCTATGTGGTAAGTGTGCACAGAAGGAAAAAATCTATGTATCTGCATTGCATTGTGGGAGTGGTAATTCAGTGCACCTCTGTCCCCAAGCCAAGCGGTAAGGAATACTTCACTCTCTGGCAGTGTGGGTGGTGGGGAAGGCAGTAGGGGGTGGGGAAGGCAGTAGGGGGTGGGGAAGGCAGTAAGGGGTGGGGAAGTTAGTGGGGGAGAAGGCAGTGTGGGTGGTAGGGAAGGGAGCTTGGGTTTGTGTAAACAGCATGGCTGGCTGGCTGGCTGGCTGGCTGTGTCTGGCTGGCTGTGTCTGGCTGTCTGTGTCTGGCTGGCTGGTTGGCTGGGTGTCTGGCTGGCTGTCTGTGTCTGTCTCATAGGTACACAAATACAATTATACAGTGTAAATTACCATGGATAACCCAAAAAATCCAGACTGGCAAATAATACGTATCAGGACCCAGATGTGATGCAGTGACTACTGCGTCATGTGTAATGCATGTCGGTTCACTAGTGGCTCTCCTTGAGACAGAGAAAGAGACAAGCAGACAGACAGATATGTTTATGTGTAAAGTGAAAACAAATAAAGGGAAGGCAGAGTACACTCATCAAATGTCACTCTACTGTCAACAGTGGAGTGATAAGACGAGTGACACACACATCTTACACCATGCTTCAATTATTATATTCTCCCATGTACCCTAGGTAATTCACACTATGTATAATTGAATGAATGCATGGGGAGTTTTGAACCAAGTGGGAGAGTACTTGTGGTTGGGGATTTCAATGCTAAAGTAGGTAAAAATGTTGTGGAGGGAGTAGTAGCTAAATTTGGGGTGCCAGGGGTAAATGAAAATGGGGAGCCTTTAATTGACCTATGTGTATAAAGAGGTTTGGCAATAAGTAATACACATTTTATGAAGAAGAGGATAAATAAATATACGAGGTATAATATAGCACATGATGAACGCAGTTTGTTAGATTATGTATTGGTGGATAAATGGCTGATGGGTAGGCTCCAGGTGTACATGTTTATAGAGGGGCAAATGATATATCGGATCATTATTTAGTTGTAGCTACAGTTAGAGTAAGAGGTAGATGGAACAAGAGGAAAATGGCAACAAGTAAGAGGTGAAAGTGTATAAACTAAGGGAGGAGGAAGTTCAGGCGAGATATAAGCAACTATTGGCAGAAAGGTGGGCTAGTGCAAGTATGAGTAGTGGGGGGTGGGGGGGTTGAAGAGGGTTGGAATAGTTTTAAAAATGCAGTATTAGAATGTGGGGCAGAAGTTTGTGGTTATAGGAGGGTGGGTGCAGGAGGAAAGAGGAGTGATTGGTGGAATGATGAAGTGTGATAAAAGAGAAAAAGGTAGCTTATGAGAGGTTTTCACCAAGCAGAAGTGTTATAAGAGCAGAGTATATGGAGAGTAAAAGAAAGGTGAAGAGAGTGGTGAGAGTGCCAAAGAAGAGCAGATGATAGAGTGGGAGAGGCACTGTCAAAAAATTTTAATGAAAATAAGAAAAAATTTTGGAGCGAGTTAAACAAGTTAAGAAAGCCTAGGGAATGAATGGATATGTCGGTTAAAAACAGAGTAGGGGAGTTAGTAGATGGGGAGATGGAGGTATTGGGTAGATGGCGAGAACATTTTGAGGAACTTTTAAATGTCGACAAAGAAAGGGAGGCGGTAATTTCATGCACTGGCCAGGGAGGTATACCATCTTTTGGGAGTGAAGAAGAGCAGAATGTAAGCGTGGTGGAGGTATGTGAGGCATTACGTAGAATGAAAGGGGGTAAAGCAGCTGGAACTGATGGGATCATGACAGAAATGTTAAAAGCAGGGGGGATATAGTGTTAGAGTGGTTGGTACTTTTGTTTAATAAATGTATGGAAGAGGGGAAGGTACCTAGGGACTGGCAGAGAGCATGTATTTTTTTTTTTAACAAGTCGGCCATCTCCCATCATTCAACACTTTCACCTCACTCACACATAATCACTGATTTTGCAGAGGTGCTCAGAATACAACAGTTTAGAAGCATATACACGTATAAAGATACACAACACATCCCTCCAAACTGCCAGTATCCTAAACCCCTCCTTTAAAGTGCAGGCACTGTACTTCCCATTTCCAGGACTCAAGTCCGGCTATATAAAAATAACCAGTTTCCCCGAATCCTCTCACTAAATATTACCCTGCTCACACTCCAACAGCTCGTCAGGTCCCAAATACCATTTGTCTCCATTCACTCCTAACACGCTCGTGCACACTTGCTGGAAGTCCAAGCCCCTCACCCACAAAACCTCCTTTACCCCCTCCCTCCAACCTTTTCGAGGACGACCCCTACCCCGCCTTCCTTCCCCTACAGATTTATACGCTCTCTATGTCATTCTACTTTGATCCATTCTCTCTAAATGACCAAACCACCTCAACAAACCCTCTTCAGCCCTCTGACTAATACTTTTATTAACTTCACACCTTCTCCTAATTTCCACAATCCTAATTTTCTGCATAATATTTACACCACACATTGCCCTTAGACAGGACATCTCCACTGCCTCTAACCACCTCCTTGCTGTAGCATTTACAACCCAAGCTTCACACCCATATAAGTGTGTTGGCACTACTATACTTTCATACATTCCCTTCTTTGCCTCCATAGATAACGTTTTTTGTCTCCACATATACCTCAACGCACCACTCACCTTTTTTCTTTCATCAATTCTATGATTAACCTCATCCTTCATAAATCCATCCACTGACACGTCAACTCCCAAATACAGTGGACCCCCGCATACCGTTGGCATCACATAACGTTTAATTCGCATACCGCTCGCTTTTATCGCAAAAATTTTGCCTCGCATACCGCTCAAAAACCCGCTCACTGCTGTTCGTCCGAGACGCGTCCAATGTGCGCCCTTAGCCAGCCTCACATGTGCCACCGGTGGCATTGTTTACCAGCCAGCCTCCACGGTAACATCCAAGCATACAATCGGAACATTTCGTATTGTTACAGTGTTTTTGGTGATTTTATCTGCAAAATAAGTGACCATGGGCCCCAAGAAAGCTTCTAGTGCCAACCCTACAGCAATAAGGGTGAGAATTACTATAGAGATGAAGAAAAAGATCATTGATAAGTATGAAAGTGGAGTGCGTGTCTCCGAGCTGGCCAGGTTGTATAATAAACCCCAATCAACCATCGCTACTATTGGTGGTACAGCTGCTGCTGCTGCTGTACCACCGTCAGCTGCTGCTGCTGCTGTAGCACCGTCAGCTGCTGCTGCTGCTGTAGCACCGTCAGCTGCTGCTGCTGCTGTACCACCGTCAGCTGCTGCTGCTGTTGCTGCTGTAGTACTGTCTGCTGCTGCTGTAGCATCGTCTGCTGCTGCTGTAGCACTGTCAGCTGCTGCTGCTGTTGTAGCACTGTCAGCTGCTGCTGCTGTTGTACCACTGTCAGCTGCTGCTGCTGCTGCTGTAGTACCGTCTGCTGCTGCTGTAGCATCGTCTGCTGCTGCTGAAGCATCGTCTGCTGCTGCTGTAGCATCGTCTGCTGCTGCTGTAGCACTGTCAGCTGCTGCTGCTGTACCGCCGTCAGCTGCTGCTGCTGTAGTACCGTCTGCTGCTGCTGTAGTACTGTCTGCTGCTGCTGTAGCATCGTCTGCTGCTGCTGTATCACTGTCGTTGGTGTGGCTTATTGAGAATACCAAGAAACAATTAACCCCAGAGGATTTGCCACCCAGGATAACCCAAAAAAGTCAGTGTCATCGAAGACTGTCTAACTTATTTCCATTGCGGTCCTTAATCTTATCTCCTAGGATGCAACCCACACCAGTCGACTAACACCCAGGTGAACAGGGAAAAATGCCTGGAACTAGTGCTCATATTGGTGAATTTAAAGCCAGCAAAGGTTGGTTTGAGAGATTTAAGAATCGTAGTGGCATACACAGTGTGATAAGGCCTGTTCTGGAAGAAAATGCCAAACAGGACCTACAGTACTCAGGAGGAAAAGGCACTCCCAGGACACAGTGTCTCATCAGTCATTGCTGCATCTTCAATAAAGGTGTCATTTATTCTTCATTTAGTAGAGTAGTACATGCACAATATATATTGTGCATGTACTACTCTACTACTGTGCATGTATCCTTCTCTTTGTGTGTAGGAAAATGTATATTTCATGTGGTAAAAATTTTTTTTTCATACTTTTGGGTGTCTTGCACGGA